AGCACCCTTCTGAACGCTAAAATGACAAATGGGACACCCTACGGTCTCGTGGACTTAACGGACACGCGCACGCGGCGGCCATTGTAAGTCCATAAGATTGCAAGTGCACATAAAGTGTTCCATTTGGGACAGGGCCTTTGACAGGTTTAGGACTGTCGTGGACAGCTGACTTCTAAAGATTTTGATATTCTTCATATGCTGTGCGGTGGTTAATTTGCAGGAGTAACAGAAATGTACTTTTCCAATAAGTTTAAATTGATTTTTACATTTTATGGGCATTTTTACCTTTATAAGGCCATTTTTTTTCTAACCTAATTAAATGTATGCATTATCTTTTGTGTCAAATTCTTACATTTAATCAATAAATTCAAATAGTAGGACACTATAGGGCTGTTAACAATCAAATGAAATCAGTATCAACAAAATTTGTGTTTGCTATGCAGAGGTGGCACAGAATCCGCATCTGAAGTGGCATTTAGATGCATTCTGTTTAATGCAGAACATAAATGTATTTAACCTGCAGTTACAAATGCATAAATAATATTTTGATGTTTGAAAAACAAAATGTTGAATACTGATATTTGAAATGATTTGGGAAAATAGACTTTAAATATAAACCTAAAATCGCCAGTAGGTGGCGGCAAATCACTGCATGAGTGAGTCATTGAGACATTCATTCAAACGATTCATTCAAACGGCTGATTGATTCAGTAACGAAACACCGTCCTGTGTTGCTCAGAGACACAAAACATTTCTGCTTTGTTTGGAACTATTTTCATTGTTGAAATACAGCAAAAACAAGAACTGTTGTGTCTAAAATGTAAGTCACTTAATATTAACTTTTTGTTTATTGAGCTGTTCATCTAATCAATATCACATTTGCTGTCGTGCTGATATTTGGAGAATACGTCACTCGTCGTGTGATAATAACTATATCAGATGATATAAATATTGTAGTAAACCTTACTACATTTCGAATTACAACTGGTTGAGGCGGCCAAATATGGACCAGATTCCAGTCAGAGAATCAGGAGAGCAGGAGAAGTCTTTAGATTGAGACATTTATTTTACTCCAATATATGCATCTGCATATGCCTCTGGTATGAAATGAGATGTTTTGTATTATATGAACACATTACAGAAAACATAGCAGCAGCATAAACAAAGACAGACAGCTGTCTTCACTGACAGACAGGTAACACTAATAATCGTCCCTCTAGGAAACATGAAATGAACTTTAGTTCCTAAAATAGGCTTTTTGACAAATATCTTAAAGGGGTTAGCCTTTTCATCTTAAAGGGGTCCTATTATGCTCTTTTACAATGTCTTGAATTTGTTTTGGGGGTGTACTAGAACATGCTCTCATGCTCTGTGGTTCGAAAAACGCATTATTTTTTTACATAATTTACATTATTACAATACCTTTCTCCCATTGCGAAAACTTGAGGCTACAGCAGCACTTCTTCTTCGTCTTCTTGTCTGAGGCACTCAACCAAGCGTTCTAACCACGACCTCGCCCCAACCATTCGAATTTCCGTAGGCGGGAATTATTTTAATGATATTCTAATGGGCCGATTTGTGATTTTGTGTGATATGTGTGACACAAAACCCCGAAAACAAACGCTGTAGTCCAAACGAGCCGTTCGTTGTAGTTTTTGAAAAGGGATTTTTTTTTTTAAATCTAGCTTAGCTTCAGTTCTGGCAGGTCACGTTAGTCAAGCTCGCATAACATACACACTACACACTGACTAAAATTCAAAAAGTGAAAAAGCATAATAGGACCCCTTTAAAATGTTAACCTTTTTGGGTCTGCAATCCATTTTTTGGTTGTGACCCACTGATTTGGTGTAATATTATTATATTATATTATATTATATTATATGGACAATACAATATGTACAGTTTTTTTGTGCTCGGCATATCAAAATGTGTTGCGCTGCACCTATATTTTTTCATCCTTTTTCCAGTTTTATTAGATTTAGGCTTTTGAAATTTTAAAATGATTTGTCACGATTCTTTACCTGATCCTTATTTGAAGTTGGCAAATTGCACCCTTTGCTTCTGAAAATGTTGTGTTTCCTTTCGCATCAATCCCAGGGTATCATAATGAGCTGGCAGAAATCAAACAGTAGAAATAAAGTAAAGCTTTGCTCATCTACATTGATAAAAATGGATTGTCAAGGCTCTTGTCAAGAAGAACGACCAACTAGACTGCCCTGACACTTCTCTTTTTTCCCTCTTTTCCACCAGGATCCAGCATCATCGACCACATCAGAGGCAGACTCAGATACCAGGGAGAGTGAGCCTGCCACCCTTAACTATAAACCTTCCCCTCTCCACATGAAGATAGGTTAGTTGTGGGATTGTTTATACTGCCAAATGCTAATGCTATGCTTTTATTTAAAGCAATTTTTGCAATTATGTGTTGTTTCATTTGACATGATTAAAATATAAATATGTCTAATATTTTTCTCTCTCACAGACAAAAAGAGAGAGTTGGTTAGGAAAGGATCACTGAAAAATGGCAATGCTGGAAGCCCTGTCAATCAACAACCCAAGAAAAATAACGTGATGGCCAGAACAAGGTAAATACAAGAGAAAATGATCATAGTTTTCAATATGTACATAGACTCTTTTATTTCACATTAATTAAAAAACCTGTCTCTATTTCTCTTTCCATCCAGGCTAGTGGTTCCCAATAAAGGCTACTCTTCTTTAGACCAAAGTCCAGATGAGAAACCTTTAGTTGCTCTTGACACAGACAGGTAAGCTCTTCACTCATCCTTCACTGATTTATTTATGCCTCCATTGGCCACAGGCCTCAAAGTCACTGTATTCACTTGCCTTGCAGCGATGACGACTTTGACATGTCTAGATATTCTTCGTCAGGATACTCGTCAGCCGAGGTGAGGTCTCTAAGGGAACAGGTACCTATGATCTCTGGTTAATGTCCTAAGCCCCGTACCCCAAGCATCTTGACAGTGGATTTCCTTCTCAGATGTCACTCACAATCTTTTATGCACTAAATTCCCTTTTGTTCTAAAAACCTCAGGCAACCCAAGACGTGGATGAGTTTGTTTCTTCGTCTGAACATATTTGGAGAAATTTAGCATTACATTACTTGCTTACTTATGGATCCTCTGCAGTGAATGGGTGTTAAAACAGCTGATGCAAACATCACAATAATATACAAGTAATCAATTAAGATCTTGTGAAAAGCTGCATGTGTTTAATACACAAACTCATCATTAAAAGATGTTTTTAATGTCAAACCATTGCTTCCAGCTAAAATACATGTCCTCTATCCATATTATTGCTTTCTCTAGTGAAAAGTCGTCTTGTCTGAAGCAGGAAAAAATATGCACAGATCAAGCACCATTTACAAGCGAAAACAGTCCAAAATAATGTTATTATGGATTATGGACCCGTATACTGTAACAGGACGTTATTCGGTGGACTGCATGTGATTGTAATGTTTTTATTAGTTATTTGGACTCTCATTCTGACGGCACCCATTCACTGCAGAGCTGGTGAGCAAGTGATGTAATGCTAAATTTCTCCAAATCTGTTCCAAGAAAGAAACAAACTCATCTACACCTTGGATGGCCTAAGGGTGACTAAATTTTTAGCAAATTTTAATTTTGGGGTGAATTATTCCTTTAAAGGTCACCATTGCTCATTTGTTGTTGTTAATCATATACATGTTGTTGTTCATGTCATTGATTCATTAAACCAATAAATGTCCCAATCAAGCTATTGAACCTGTAGTCTTATTAATCTATTAAATAACTGCTGCCAGGAAAATTGAACTAATTTATATAATTTAATTAGTGGCGGTTATGCAGCTTGGCCTGACATGCTGTTCGTTGCTTCCTGCAGCAGATAAACCAGGATCTGAACATCCAACTACTGAAAGATGGATACAGGCTGGATGAGATCCCCGACGATGAAGACCTGGACCTCATACCACCCAAATCCGTTAACTCCACCTGCATCTGCTGCCAAGCCACCTCCTCCACTGCTTGTCAAATCCAGTAAACCTGTCACCTTTTCCCCTCCCTGTGCTCCCTCTCTCTCTTCCCCTCCCTCTTTCCCTTTCATAACCTCAGATAAGACATCTAATCAATATTACAGAGGGAAATGTACAGTAAACGTTATGATGAACATGGTGTACAGGAAAATGTGAACACACAGACACACAAAACACATTACATGTGCTAATACACACACATACACACATTTACTCTTACTTATAATTCTAAACATGACTATTATTGGTTGCTTCCTCCTATGGCAGGATATGCACAGGTTTGCTAATACGTTAGGAGAGTCTGCTCACTTTCACCTCCTAGCTGGCATTGTGTTATACTGTACAAGTGAACGTAGAACAAATAAAGCATTAAAATGACTTTAATTGTGAATTTAAAAACAACTTGATGTTACAGAGAGTTTGAAATAGCTTATCCACTGAATTCTCTGCTTTCCTGTTGCACTCATTGCATTAACATTGTCGTTATGGTAAGACTTGATTTCCGTACGGATCTGGTTGGATGTTTATTGTTCGTGGCTGCTATTGAGGCTATACTTGGATTCGTTTCTGTTGAACATTTTGCATGTTGGTGCATTCGTACTGCAGCACTAACAGTAGCCTTGACTGGCATGTACCTGGGCATCACACTTTTTGTTTACTCTTGATATCTCACACAAGTATTTAATTGAATCGTGTTTGAAACTACACTGGATTTGAGATCCGAATGAGTCATGAACGAAAAGGAAATACAGTAACCCTTCTTTATTTGATTGGTCATTTCTGAACAGTTGTTATTTTCACAGTAACCTCTCACTACAGACCGAAGATGATAAAATGATTACATGAAGACCTTTCTGTCTCTCAAAGCAGTTTTTCAAAGGTCAGAAATCACTGGGTATGATTGAATAGCCTTTATGACATTTTGAAAATCCTTAGACAGAATGTCCAAACATGTTAGATGTAGAACGCCTGTAAGCTTTCTTACAGTGAGTACTGTTTTAGTCTGGAAGATGTTCAGATTTCACAGACTTGAAGGCACCAAAGAATGTTTATGCTCCTTGTTGGAATCACTTTACCTTGTGTCCATTTTAATTTAGCATTTTATATGCATACCACCAATCAGAATATATCGCTTCATTTCATGGAAATCAGTTACTTTCTCAGACATTGTGGGCTATTTAAAAGCACTGTTTTCTGCAGGTCTTTGGAACTAACCGTAGAATGTTAATGTTACTAAACTGATCAAATCCCTGGCCTCATTATTGTTATTATTAAAACGATTCAAGCTATCAATGATGAAACTGCGCTGTTCATCTACACATGAAATCCTTTTACAGATTTTACCCTTCCATTCAGCTTTGAAAGCCAAACACATTTTATGTGTTATCTTTACACTCTTCATATTGTCTTGATCAAGTTGTATCTCAAAATGCAAACTGTTTTCATTCGAACTGCTCATATTCACTTTTTAGGCTGTTTTAATTATGACTAAAATAGTGTAATGACCTGATGTATCAAAATTCAAAGTGTAATCAAAGGTGAGCATTTGTTGGACAAAAGCTGTGTTTTCATGTTATAAATATGTTAATTATGTGAGAAAGTCCATTTATGTAATAACAATGTTGTTATTGGTTTCAGTGATATCAATAAAAGCAGACCTGAATTACACTTTTCTTTTTTTAATTAGTCCTTTATTTACATAATTTACAGGTACAGGAAAGCCAAAATATGAATGTTGCACAAATGATACCTATGTAAAAGTACAGAATATGTATGTACACCGGTAGTGGCTCAAAGTCTGTAAGACAGATATACACATCACAACACTGGCATTCACAACACAACTGAGAAGACTTTTGTAAATTACATCAATGTACTTCTCAATAACTTGCTAATTACATTCTGCAGTCTAAGATAAGAGTTCTTAAACTCAAAGTTCTAAAGTTCTTCTTAAACTCAAAACAAGGCACAGGTTGAGCATTTTTACAATGACAGTATGTTTTAAATGACCTGCTTGAATTCAGGCTCACAACCTACTGAACATATGGAACATCTGAACAATAAATTAGCACAGATACTATGTGACAATAAAAGCCAAATATTTGTTGATCAGTTATCATAACATAAAATATAAAAATCTATACAATTGTTATTGAATAAAGCTCCAACAGATACATTGATCGTTGATTCACATGTAAAATTCAGTTTGTGTCTTTTAAAGCACAATGGCTGATCATTATGGTAGATTTAAACTAAATCTATATTCAAATAACATTCATTATTTCAAGTAAACAGCTGAACAGTGGAAAGACTTCTGAAGTCAAGAGGAACTTGTATGAAAATGAAAAACCCATTAATAAAACTAATAAAAGATATTGTTATTCATGTTCATTGATTGATTGTAAATACTATAGGCTGCTAATAAAATCATAGGTACTGGGAGAAATATACAGTCTTTGTTCTGTCTTTTTCAGCTGTGCAGTGTACAGAGATGTAAGGCACAACTCTTACCTTGTGTTTTCCCATAACACACCTATAGATGGCGGTGGTAAACTATTAATCAGTGAACTTCTCTTATTTTCACTACATCACTTGAGAAGGCTGACCAAAAAAACAAAAAACAAAAGTTTCAAAAAGAAGTTATAAAACTGTTCTGAATAGAGTATTTTCAATGCTGTACATTCAATAAGTTACATTCTTTAGCATAACTGATTAGAATATGCAAATAATTACTTAGATTGCTTAAAAAACACCAAAGCTTGTTTATGTGCGTAAAACCTCACACGATGCGAAGTTAATCTCATAAGTAACCATCTGTTTTAATATCATACAAATACCATCTTCAACACTTAAGTCAACTGCTGTCCCTGTAAATAACACAAAATAACTGAAAACATTCATAGTGATTATTTTAAAACCAATCCACTTCTGCCAACTGGACCACTGCAAAATTGGACACTTTAAAGTGATCATTAAAATGTGTCTCCGTTTCACCACACACTATATATTTTTCACTTCCCTTTGTCACAGTGGGTGTGTAATAAATCCCCTGGCTCTGTATTGAACAATCTTATATTCATGATATGTGACAAGTTATAAATACCCCTATAATTTTTAAATAACCCTTGGACTAAATGTGCATTATTGTTTCTGCCTAAAGCTGATGATTTCTGTCCATTCCATTGAGTAGTCCCATTTTCAGGCTTTGTCATGGAGAACTCCAGCACAAAATATTTTGTATGTCTCCATTATGTAACACACCTGATATCTCATATCATCACCTCAATATCAGAGGCTCCAAGATCTGAGCCTCAAGAAAGACACATCCAAAATGTGCAGTGAGGGGTCACATGGTTGCTCAAACATCAGCAGACATGTGATCGCTGGAGCCAGAGGACGATGTAGACGTTGAAGAGTGTCGTCTCCGCCCGGCAGGACCCTGAAGCATACTGGGGTGGAAGTTGACGTGTCTGCGGGCGTGTTTGGTGAGGTGATCGCTTCTCATGAAGCATTTGTCGCAGAGCGGGCACGTGAAACGCTTCTCCCCGGTGTGCGTACGAAAATGTCGCGTCAGTTCATCCGACCGTGAGAATTTCTTTGCGCAGCCTGGCCAGGTACACTGAAAGGGCCTCTCACCTAAGAACACACACATGGGAGAGAGAAATTTAAAACTGTTTTTATTTCAGCCCTTACTGACAAAAACAGACAGCAGCAGCAGCAAAAAAAAAAAAAAATCGGCACGTCTAGATTTTTTCCATGCATGTACGCACCTTCACCGGCGTTTTGGCAACTTGTTCAGTGTGCGTATGTAAAAATCGGAGAAATCGCTGATTTTGATAGTTACTAGTGATTTGCTCTGAATGTGAACGCATGTGAACGCACTCAATGTAAACATCCGGCACCACGTGTAGAATCACATCACGTCATCGTTGCGTTGTTAGGTTATATGCGGTTATTTTAGTGCGTGTCGCATTGAAGTATGCGGATCATCAAGGACCAGCGGCCACGGCACACACTGAGATTAGACTCGTTATTCGAAGAGAATAGAATAGACATATTAATTCATATGATGCATAAAGCAGAAAACAGAATTTAATTCGCGATATGGGCCCAACCGAATCATTAGCCTGCAAATTAGCCAGTCTGAAATGATAATAGGCTACTTCTAGCATTTTTACCACACGATTACGCAATTTAATGGTCTCACGGTGTCCTGCGTAACAATGTGGACTAAGCAACATGTTTGCTCACACTTTGATTAGTAACAGTGTGTCCTGTTCCACCCTCATGTGTACCCATGAGCGCTCCGCCTGCGGTTACACCCACCGTTACGAGTGGCAGTTCCCGAAACCGAACAGAACACGCGGGCGTGGGGCGTAATAACAGACTGCGGGCCAGATAAACGAACGATCCGAATCGAAATACCGGCGTTGGTTGAGTTACTGTACACTTAAGCACAAAATAATTCAACTGTGCTTATTTCTTACCGGTATGTACTCTGAAGTGCGCCTTAAGATGGGACGACTTGCCGTATATTTTCGCACAGCCAGCATAGGGACAGCAGTGTCTCTTCTCAGCGGATACATGCAGTCTGTCGCGGTTCCGTGTCCTTTTCACCCTTCTCGCGTTCTGTCTGCATTTCTCCCGGTTTTCCTTCACGCCGGGCTGATTATCCACATCACTGTCCACTATACATTTGGCGCTGATGCCGCTCGGGATACACTGATTTAGGTCCAGCAGAATCATTGCGACCATTAACAGAGTCCGACTCTCTTGACTTTCTTCAGATGCCTCCTCGCCGGCTAGTTTGTCTGAGCGGTCACCGTTTGAGACCGGCCCCAATGACCTAGCTGCAGTATTAACGTCCGTCATTGTAGTTACCTAAAATGTCCTGGAAATGGAGGAGTCACCTGCTACAAATAGAAAAACTTAGGGCTCGGGATTCTCATCATATGCGCATCGGGAAACAGATGACTCTGGAAAACGTGGCTTCACGCCTACACGTGTTTTTCCCAATGTGACTGCGATGATTAATGTTCTAAGCGAAGAATAAAAGCGCGTGTCGCTTGCGTCTACACGCACAAGTTATCGAATAGGCATCCAGGTGCCTATTCCCAATATTATTTCAACCACATCAGAAAGCGTGGAACTTTGAGTACTGTCATTCCCTTCTTCCCTCATCCGTGTGCCTCTCTCTGTGCCGCTGTTTGCTGTTCTCATCTGAAAGAAACAGTACTTCGCGGAATCCCACGGTGTCATCATAAAACTCGTCGCTGATTGGACACGGTGGTGCAAGAGCGACGCTTTGAATGCAATACCAGGAATCACCTTGACAGCATGAGATTGAAGGCTCATGGGTCCAATAGTGTTCTGAGTATCGGATGAGGGGCGTGCTAACATAACAGGAACTACGAGTAGTAACATGTGCCCTCATTCAACACTGTAATCACTCAATGCACTGGCCGATATATAGTTGTTTCTAAAAAGAAAAAAGAAAAAAGTAGTAAACGTTTGCATTGATAAGATTTATCATTTGTCTATCTTACATGTATCTCAAGTCACTGGATGTTAAAAAACCCAGTGTGAGCTAGTTTCACATTAACAGGCACCATGCAGTGAAAAATATTAACATAAGCATAAAATATAGAAATCAGTAAATAAACCATATAACAGAGGTAGATATATCAATGTATATGGGATATTGCACTCAATGGAGCTTTTTCACTTGTGACGAGGGGATTTTTAAAGTAAAATTGAACATAGGCCTATATGGACAGCAATAAATATCCATTTCTTCGAAAACCTTCAAGACCTGTCTTCGACGGTCGACCTGAAATACATTCTTTGATCTCTCAGCTTTCAGGGAAAATGGTCGCAGCGAAGTATTGAGCAATTGATCGCTAACACACAAGAGCAACACGTTTCAAACTGAAGTCCATTTCTTTCAACAAAGCATGCGTGCAGAGGATTTGTGCTGCACAGTGCACAAGCATTGCCTATCAGTAGTAGCCTTGAAGTTTTGAGGCGGGCCCTCGCGAAGGGCCGCTGGAGAAGGAGAAATTAGCCAATGAGAGCAAACGTAACACGACTCTTTTCGGAGTAATCTCCGAACTCGCGGAGGTTCACAGTGGGAGACAGTTCTAGGAAAATATGGGAACAACACTTGCGACCCCATTTCAAAAGTGTATCCATTGGCATGAACGGCATGAACGTATTATGATACTGTTAATACCAAAAAGCTTACATTTACAGTAGAGAGGACAACATGAGACTATCAACAATCCTATTAACACTCACTTAAGCAGAATACTCATCTAAATATTTAGCATTTCATATATTTGATATATTTCTAAACATTTCATACCATACAACTTTTTTTTTTTATTAACAACGTTCTTGAAATAGGCCTATTTAGCCTACTTGTCTTGGTAAGTGTTGTCAGTCATAGGAATGAGACTTCATCATCGCAATAAAATGAAATCCAGGTGTTGTTTTTGTTGTACTATTTGAAAGGTGACGCGTGTAAACAACCTTCAGCAAGTTAAACCGTCTAATAAATCATCCCGTTTCTAACAACGCTGTCAATTCGAGATGGGTCACGTTGTTGTTATTGCACTGTAACTAGCCCCACACACACACGTGTCTGTTTTTGTGGAACAGAATGTACCGTGAACTAGAAGTGAACTTGAACGCCTCCCTACGATGCTGAAAGGACAGTGCAAGCAACACTTCCGCTCTAACGCAGAGTCACGCTTATGTTTCAGCTGAACAGTAGCCTACGCATGTCGTTTCCGATCTCAAGAAGGATCTGTTCTTTGGAATTTCGGGATGTACAGTACCAAAGCTTGTAAAAAGCTGTAGTGAAGATGCACGAGGCATAAGACCCTGTAGACAGAGACATGGGACTAAATAGCACAAGTAGCCTAAATAAAAAAATCAAAGACTTATTTTGGAATAATTTGTTCAACATGTTCGCCTATTTTATCCCAAAATTCGTTTTTCCACGCCATCACTCAATATGGGTCCACACTAACAAAATAAAGTGCCAAATTTATATTCTAAATGTTTTTGTAATGCAAATGAGGGAAATAATCTAAAATGGCCACACTCACCAAAGACTGTGACCTTGTTGAACTCAATGAAGGCTGAAATAGACAAGGAGCTGTGAAACCGTATATATGTTTGTATCTTTCAACAATCAACAATCATAAGTAAATAATAAACCAGGTACCATTCTCTGGAAATAATGTGACAAGCTCCTAATAATTACACTGAAACTCCATAAAGCCAACGATCATTTCTCCTAACAAAAAATTAAACACAAAGATTTTTTGAATGATATATATTCTTTTATTTGTTATTACATGCCAAACATCTTATTCACATTGAGGAATACAGTATACACATTTGTATTTGCATCCAAATACTTAGCCTTTTACTATAGGACAAGAGTCCTCGGATCCCGCTGTCTGTTTACTCATCTCTCAACTTGTATCTTTTGGAAGAACAACATGCATTTTAAAGACACTAAGTAAATGAAGACCTTTCCGTTCAAACTACAGCATTATTGCAGAAAAGATGTGCTTGTACTTGTTAGCAGACAAGTGCTCACCA